TATTATATTATTATTATTATTATTATTATTATTATTATTATTATTATTATTATTATTATTATTATTATTATTATTATTATTATTATTATTATTATTATTATTATTATTATTATTATTATTATTATTATTATTATTATTATTATTATTATTATTATTATTATTATTATTATTATTATTATTATTATTATTATTATTATTATTATTATTATTATTATTATTATTATTATTATTATTATTATTATTATTATTATTATTATTATTATTATTATTATTACTATTATTATTAATAGTAATAGTAAAATTAATAATAATATTATTGCTATTATTATTGCACTAATTTTGTAGATTTCTTTAAATATATACGGTAATGCTAAATTTCCAGTGGAAATATGAAGGGTATTTGGAAGAAGAAAAAACAATAATTAACCGTGGCCTAGAAAATGCGAAACGATTAGCCGCTTGGTATTGTGAGCGTTTGAAAAGTATCGAAAAACGAAGCAGTCTATTAGATCGAGGATTGGTGCCTGTTGTTAGTGATACATTATTGATTGATATTTATTTATAACAGTCTTTTAAATCCTCATTTCGTAATTTTTTTTTTTCTTTTTCAGAGCGAAATGTTTTTCTTTTTGTTCAAAATTATTTTTTATTAATAAAATAAAATGTGAAAAATAAAAAATCGTTGGAAGTTTTTTTTTAAAAATTACCAATTTTTATTTTTTTTCGAAAAATAAACTTATTTATTTATAGTTCAAATGAAAGTAAAAATTAAATTTTCATCAGTTTTTTTAATTCTTATTTTACAAGTAAATTTTTCATCTTTTTAATTAATTTGCAAGAAATTTTTAATTTTAATTCAATAAACTAACTTTAAATATTCTTAGAATAGTTTTTTTCTTTTTTTTTCCGATGATGCTTATTTCTGTTCCTTTGATAATCATTTATTTTTTGATATAATAATCTTCAAGAGTATCAAATTTTGTGACTTATTTACTTATTTATTAAATTCTTATTCAATCATTATTCACTCATTACTTCGTTTGCTAATTAATTAAATTCTTTAATGACAGGATGATGCTGTACATGAAGAAAAGCTAAATTATCTTCGTGCTCATATTGCTGAACTCAATCGACGAATAATATCATTAATGGAAAGTAGTGATCATTCATTTCCAACACATTCAAATTTACAGGTTCCATTACATTCCTTACTTTTTCTCGATAATTATAATCGGTTTTAATTACACCAAACTGCTATTAATTGTAATTAGTAATGAAATATTAGTGTTAAATGATCATTGAATAAATATTCAAATTGATATCTGCGAAAAAAAAAATGTAACAAATCAATATGTATGAAGAAAGTTTTAATTTAATCTTAAAAAATTAACCTTACTAAATGCTCCTCAAGGAATATACTTAAATACTTAAAGATCGTATGTAGTGATAAATAAAATTCAATTTTTGAATGATTATGCTAACATGAGAAAGATCCATCACGCAAAAAATGCTTAAATTTAATATATCAAGGCAAAATATTCACTCTTCAAAATTTTAATTGGAAATGAAAATTCATTTAAACTTATTCAAGTTCTCTTTTAAGCTAATCATTTCACATTTTGATTTAAATTGGAAAGATTTCTTAATGAAATTTGACGTAATTTCAGAATATATCTTAAACAATAATATTATTTTTTGGTATCATATGAGTAATTAGCTTAATTATGCCTCGATGCTAAAATTAATTAATTTAGGTAAGGACACAAATGCCACAACCGAATGATGAACAAAGTCAATATTACAGACGACAAAATATTAAATTATGTCAGGTTTGTAATACTTCTGCAAACTAACATTCCTTATCTTTTGCTTTTTTTTTTCTACTCTTTCTCTTTCTCTCTCTCTCTCTCCCTCTGTTTGCTCAGAGATAAGTAAATTAATTAGTTGAATTAAATATTACAGGAATTGGCTGATAAAAAATCATTTAATCGAACGACTTCTCTATGAGAATGCTGAAAAAAATAAGGAATATAATAGTGCATTTCGAAAAGTTGAACCAAAAAGGTTAAAAAATTGATTTTTTAGAAAAAAAACTTTAAATTTAAAATAATTACAGTTATTTGTTCTTAAGGAATAATAATAATTGTTTTTTTCTACATTCAATGATTCGAATTTTTAAAAATGAAAATAAAATAACTAATTATTGGTTAATTAAAAAGAGATGATTGAATAATTCTAAAGTTGCTATTTTTATTTCTTTTCTATAAAAAAGCTGAAAAAGATAAGGAAATATAATAGCGTATTTTGAAAAGTTAAATCAGAATTCTTGCTAATAAGATAGCATTCTTAAAATGAAATTAAATACATTTCAGGTTAACATCATCAACATCATGAATATGAATACATTTCAGGTTAACATCATCATCAACAACAACAACAACAAATGTTGAAAAGAATCAGTACGCTCAATCACATTCATGGGTACAATCAGAAGGGACATTAATGTGAATGTTGTAATGAAATTAAATGTTTATCAAAAATTAATAAAATGAAACCATTTAAAAGTTTTTATAGTTTCCTTTCATATTTTATCAATAAAATGCTTGGATAAATTTCTAAACTTCATATCGATCGTAATTTATTCATTGATAATATTAATAGAGAAATTTGCTGTTTATCTTTCGGATAAATTTAATAAATGATTTAATTATTGGTTGATTAATTCATCCTTAATTTTATTTTAAATCTAACTTTTACTAGCCAATTTTCTTTTATTTTCATTTCTTACTAATATATATTTGTTGTAAGTTATTTAACAAACAAAAAATCCAGTTTAAATCGAAAAAGTTCCTGAAAAAAAAAAAAGGCAGAAAAGAATATTCAATGAATTATGAAATGTTTGGTGTAAAGGATTTTGGAAGAGATTAAAATGAAGCTATTAGTTGATCAATATTCGAGATCAGATGATAGATTCAGAAAAAAAATTTAAGATGGAAAAATTTAGCACGATTTAGTTGGGTTATCCGTCAAAGTGTCATCGTCAAAGCAGAAACAAATGAATGTATATTCATAGCTTTACAGGTTTGATATCATTACAAGATTCAGAATTAATTAAATATCTCTTCCTCATTAACATTACGCACAACCTTTTGAGCAGATTAAAACGTGCTCAATTATATCTTTAATAGAAATTTTTTTAAAAAAAAATTTTTTTTATTGCGATTAAGTGATTCTAACATCAATCAATAGTTTATTGTCGAAGTATAGGTGGACAGATAATTTAACAAGTCAAGCATAACAGATCATCTCCCTTTGATAATATTCACAATCTCATAAACAGATCATCTCCCTTTGATAATATTCACAATCTCATAAGCAGATCATCTCCCTTTGATAATATTCACAATCACACAGAATAACGCAGTTCTCTCGGTATGCCATTGCTATGCCTAAATAGTCCTGATCATAAGAAGCTAAAGAAATTTATAAATTCAATAAAATTTTGAAAGTGAAAAATTACTGCTTATCATTGATATTGAATACATTTCTCTTAATAGTTACCATGAACAACTGCAGCAATACGTGCATCAATGGATACTATTTCTGAAATACACAAGCACTATCTATTGAAAAAGGTATACAACAACCAAGATGAAAATTAGAAAGTATACAAAAGAAAGAGAAGTATTAATGATGAAATAAAACATTGAAATTAGATGAATGGGACCAATCTCAATCTCATTAAATATCTGCTAGTATTAGCATTTTGACTAATTTCATTTTCTTCATTTTTTTTTAACCTTATACTAATTATATTTGCTAGTTTCATTGGTAAACTATACTTCAACGCACAATATGAATTGACAATACTAAATTTTACCAGTTAACAATCATGAAAAAATCAGAAGCAATGCAAATTGCATATTTACGAATGCTCTAAAAACTACGCTTACAAAATGAATAGTGTACGCCTGAGGGCGCTAAACAGTGACATCGAGTTAGCAAAAGTAGAAAAAGTAGTCGACGATTATTTTTTACAGAAACTTCCTTTTTGTCAATAACGACGCGAATTATCACAGACAAACTACTAATTTTGATAAAACAAACGAGAGAGGATGGACTCTCAATACGTTTAAGACATATTGTATCACATCCACGGCAACCGTAATGGAATCAGAAAAACTGCGTTTTTGTAACTTGGAAGAACAGACTACAAAATTTCTAAGTAAACACTATTTTTCCTGTTTTATATCTGTCGGCAGTTTATGAAATGGTTGATTTGTGAGAGCTTCACGACTGATAGCCCTTTGTTGGATCAGCAGAAAGCTTCTGCTTGATAACCTTTGATGGATCTGCCAAAAAACCAGGACCAGAAGTACCAACTACTGAAGAAGGGGGAGAAGGAGGAGGAGGAGGATAAGGTACAGTTCCTGCTAGGAATGCCTTCATCGCCTCAATATGTTCTTCTTTCTTCAGCATCTCCACAATTGTCTTGATCTGCTCCGCAGTTAATCGAAGCTCCTTATGACTTCCGAACAAAGCCAGTGCCTGCAACATACTCTCATTGCTGACGAAGACACACTTCTTTAATATCTTCAGCTCACTATAAAAAAATCGAATCTGATATTTAAGATAGTCTGTAAAACACTTCTGTCACTAACATTAGAGAATAGGAATCTGAATGAAAAGTATCCGTTATATTACAGATTATTCTTATAATGATAATATACCTGTAAGACAAGATTAACATCTATTACACCATCGCTATCTTCATCGAGAGCTTGTAATATCTAAAAAATAATGGCTTTGATCAAAAAAATCTGCTGTAGTTCTTAATACATATTCCAAAAACAAACGAGCTAAAGCCAAAAATTTCACCTGCTTTAATTTAAAGACCAATGAAACATACTTTCCGAAATTCTTCTCTCTCCTCCTCGCTCATCTTTTGTAAGGTTTGCATTTTACATATGAGATCTTCCACTTTCATCAGCCTTTCTCTGTAAGCAGTGAAGTCTATGGGATTCAAAATGATTAAACCAAAGCATTTGTGGAATATAATCGGATAATTTGTGATTTTAAATAACCATTGATAAATGTATATTTCAATTACAAATATGCGGAAAATTTACTCTTTCATCTTTTTCTCCTCATCATCCGCACTTTCGATAGCTTTTTTATCTTCATCAAGCTTTTCCAACAATTTATCTGCTTTTTTCATCATCTTGTTGACACGTGCTCGAAGTAGTTTAGCCCCCCTAGGCTCTTTTAGATCTTTCATTAATGAATCCAGTTCTTCTAGATCCTAAAATAAAAATCTCAGCCGTTATTAAGAAAGAGAGATGAAAAAGTTCTGTGTTACTGTGTTATGTT